ACTCTCTTATAGCATACAGCATATGTTTGCGGTAGTTGGAAGACACCCTGTGATAAAGAGTCTAACTTCATTTTTTGATGTTTGATTTCTTATTTTTTTAAGCCTCACCCTCCCTTCCCATCTGGCTTGACATCTGAACAGGCTGATAAGAAAGTCCAAGTGTGTCTCCTCCTTTGGCATTGGTGGGAAATTCAAACCTTGCAAATCTCCAGCCCAAGCAAAGGAATTCTTCCCCAGTCCCACACCCGTATAGTGGCTAGGAGGTACTATCAAGGCCCAACCCACTCCCTCTGCCTCACTCATGCCAGCACACATCTGCTTGTACCTGCTCTTCTTTCCCCAGGAGTCCTTTGTGTGAGTAATAAACTTTTTCTCAAATTATCTTGGTAAGTGGAGTGTCATCAGCCTTTATATCCCACCTTTAATTGGGAGGGAGTCCATCCCACCTTTATGAGGTGACCATAAAATACAGTTCCTTGTCAGTGGACTGAGAACCAAATTGCAAATAGTCATTCTCTGAGTTCCCAGGTTTGGTAAGCCATCTCTTCCCTTTTGTTTCCTTAGTGTATTTGTTACTATTACTACATAACAAATTATCAAAAATTTAGTGTCTAAAGCAAACACTTATTATTTCATAGTTTCTGATGGTCAGGAATGTGGACACAGCTTAGCTGAGCGCCTCTGGATCAAAGTCTCTCTGCATTCAAACTACTAATGGCAGGTACTGTGGTCTCATCTGAAGGCTTGACTGGGAGAAAGAAAAATCAGTTTCCAAGTTCTCTCATATGGTTGTTGGCAGGCTTCAATTCCTTGCCTTGTGAGTCTTTCTTTCCACAGGACTGCCTCATGACTTGTTGGCTGAGTTTTCCCAGGTGAGTAATCCAAGAGAGAGTAAAAGAAAGCATGCCAAGAGAGAAGCCACAGTCTTTTTTTTAATCCTAATATTGGAAATGATGTCTCATTACTCCTGCTTTATTCTATCCATTAGAAGTATCACTAAGTCCAGCCCATATTCAAAGGGAAGTTATTGCACAGGGCATAAATTCCAGGAGGTAGGGGTTATGGAGGCCATTTTATAAGCTCTCTACAACATGAATCCCCATGGGTGGCAGCTGTTTCCTGCAATTACCTCTGAGTTTCCTGAGTGCTCCCTTTCTGCTTCTTCAGCTTCATAGATAACATGCTCTGTAATCACTGCCCTGATACTAAATATCCTCTCTTTGAAGAGTGTGGTTTATTTTTCCTGACTTGATGCTGAGAGATATAGTACTTAGAGTTCCGCCAACCATCCAGTTTAGAAGTAAAGAGAGTATGACATACTTTGTCCACGTTCCAGTAGTCAAAACCCAGTCACATGACTAATTTAACTGCAAGGGAGGCTAAGAAATATATGGAGCACACAGATATCAGTGAGACTAATAGTTTCTGCCACACTACTTAATTTTCAAGAAGTCATACACACATTGTCAACACCTCCTGGATACCACTTTCTCAGGTAAGTAACTTTCTTTACACAAATAAAATTCTGCAAAAACTCAAAATGCTCTGTAAGCAGAGTGATTAAAATTTATTCATTTAATTATTTTCATTGAGTTCCTCACATTGAAGCCATTAATTCTCCAAAACGCATTGAAAATAGCAGGAACTTTATCCAGTTAACAATTAAAGAAAGTTTGTGATTCAAAGGTAACTTAATATAAGAATTATTTTCTTTTGGTCATTATAGAATTAAAATTTTAGCACTTGCTACTATACAGTATTTTCAGCAATAAAATAGTAAATTTTAGAAACTCTGGATAATTTATCAACAAATTTCTCAAATTTCTTTATTTTTGGGAACTTTAAAATCATTAGAAAGAAATGAAAATGAATTGTGTCTGTGTGTGAAAGTTTACCTACTATGTTCAAATATTACATACCTTTACAGTCAGATGTAGGTAGAATCCACAGTTTAGTTAGCAAGAATTCTTTTTTTTTTTTTTTAAAGATTGGCACCTGAGCTAACAAATGTTGCCAATGTGTTTTTCTTTTTTCCTGCCTTTTGTCCCCAAATCCCCCAAGTACATAGTTGTATATTTTAGTTGTGGGTCCCTCTAGTTGTGGTATGTGGGACGCTGCCTCAACGTGGCCTAATGAGCAGTGCCATGTCCTCGCCAAGGATCTGAACCAGAGAAACCCTGGGCAACTAAAGCAGAGCGCATGAACTTAACCATTCGGCCACAGGGCCGGCCCCGTTAGCAAGAATTCTTAATAGTAAACTTCAGCACTTTGGGAGTTATGACAGGGAGATTATTAAATTTCAAAATAACTTTTCCAACTTTATCTTTTTGTACCTTAGAGATACTATTTGGCATTTGTTTTCTTTTTTTAAAACTAATTTTTTGGGGCCAGCCTGGTGACATAGTGTTAAGTTCACGTGCTCTGCTTCAGCAGCCTGGGGTTCACAGGTTCAGATCCTGTGTGTGGACCTATACACTGCTCATCAAGCCATGCTGTGGTGGCACCCCACATACAAAATAGAGGAAGATTGCAACAGATGTTAGCTCAGGGCCAATCTTCCTTACTCCCCAAAAAATTATAACAGTTTTTCAAATAGGTAACATATATTCACAGCCCAAAAAAGAAAATGAAAATGTATTCAATGAAAAGTCTCCTTTGCACTCCTCCCTCAATCAGAACATTTGACCTCCCCTTTACAGAAGTAATTATTGTTGTTAGTTTCTTGTTTCTTTTCAGAAATTCTTGATACACATACAAGTAAATATAAACATATCTCCTCTTTATACAAAGGCACTATATTTTACACATTGTTCTGCACTTCGCTTCTTTTCCTTTTATATATTTCCCAAAACTGTTTACAGAAAAGTTCCTCATTCTATTTCTCTTTCTTTCCCCCTACAGCTGCATATAGTACATTATATTGTATGAATGTACTATAATTAATTTAACCAGTCTCCTATAGAGGGACTTTTAGGTTATTTCCAAACTTCTGTTATTATAATGAATAATGTTGTACAAGCAGTATTTCTATAGAATCAATTCCCAAAAGTAATTTGCTGGTTCCAGGGGAAGATAATTTTGGTGTTTTTAATTTGATTGTTACCAAATAGCATCCCAGAGGGGGTTGTAACAATTTACACTCCAATCAGAATTGTATGAGAATGCCTATTTCCTATAGTTGTTTATTTTCCAATGAAAATTTTAATTACTGTAGAATTTCTAGTTGTGACATTGTCCAAAAACCAAAACCATAAAGTGATCATTCTTAAACTTACCTCATATGTCGACAAAGATTAAAGTGTGACAGATTTAAGCAGCTGCAAGTAAACTTCTTCTAAAACCTGTACAACAGATTCCATAAGTACATATATGTTGTTGACAGAGAAGAACGAGGATCTGTATCTTTAAGATTGTCTTCCCTTATTGTACTGGATTAGCTGTTAATCTTGGAACACAATGTTCTCAGCTAAAGCTCAAATTTGTCTTGACAATCTCACTTTAGCTTTGATGGTCTTTAGTAATATTCTTGAAATTAGTTTCCAAAACTACAAATTTGCTGAGGCCAACTGACTGTTTAACTATTGCTTCTGTTATGCAGTGATTTAGCAACAGGTAATGTTGTAACATGAAATCCTCACCACACTGAAGTTTTAAGTTAGAAAGAACAATATAATCTTTTGCAATCCAAACAATCAATCCTCTGCAATATAATCTTATATGAAATCTTAAATAAAAATCATATTAGCACAGTAAGGTTAAATTCAGTTGTGTAAAAGGGACTTATCAGATTGATGTAATTTAGTTATAACTGTTATATTTTATCTATAAAACACCTCGAAAAGCAGATCAGGTTATGCTTTACATTACTAATGTTAACTAATGATGGATTTAAGAGCTTTAAAAGAAAACACTTATTAGCCAAAATCCACCTCTGAATAAATTCACAAAATGCTCAAAAGCCCATGAGTCAAAGTTTAGTTTACAGCATGCCACGAGTCCAACTAAAAAAGTACACTCGGGTGACTGAGGTATTAATGGGCACACGAAATCAGGTGGTGAGTCTTTGTCTCTATCCAAAATGAATGGAATTATCTTCTCAGACCAAAACACTTCAGGCAAGGTAAGCTTTTTTTATCTGATCTGACCACCTGTTCTTGGTTCCCCTGCTTTAGTTTGTATCGCCTGCTTGTCTAAAGCAAGTTGCAGGCATTCATATTACAGCCCAAAGTTCAAAGGCTCCCCTTAGAAAAGCTTCCTAATGTCTTTATTTTCTGGGCTTTGGTTTTGTTTTCTTGTTCCTTTTAGTTTAAGGGCTTCACACCATTTAAAAATTTTATCTGTTTGTTTCACATTAATAAAGGTTTAATGCTAATCTGTTTGCTTCAGCCTGAAGGCTTAGCAAAACTGAAACAAAGAGTGAGATTCTTATTTTACTTAGGACTTTTCCCAATTCTGTAAAATTAATCCCCTCAAATATTTTGCTTGTGTTTCTACACTGAAAGAGGCACCTCCAAGTCTTTCACCCTTCACGAGACCTCCTAGGAAAATGCAAATCTTTATAAGAATCTGACAGAGGAGTTTTTTCTCTTCTCTTTTTTCCTTTCTTTTATTTCTATTTGAAAGGCTGAGTGGTAGAGCGAGACACCCATTTTTCTTCATCTGATGAAACTTTTCTCTAGTCCTTGGTGCTAAGGGTGATTAGGGAGTAGAACAGTTCTTGATTTCTATTCCATTCTCTTTCACTCCAGTCTTAGCATTGCTTTGTCTAAAACAACTTCTGACTTCACGGCTGCCAATTTACCATTCCTCTCATTGAAACTTCAACTGAAAAACATTTCTTTCAAAAAGTTTGACCCTACTCAGAGAGGCCTAGCTAAAATTCTTTCCATTCCTTAGTATTAATTAAAATCGCCTTTCCCCTAGGCAGTTCCATTTTATAAAGATAATATAATGAAAGTAGATAAAAAAGAAATATAGTGGAAGCAGAAACAAAGGGGAGGGAGAATGAAAGTGGGAGAAATGGTTTACTTGTTTTGGAATCTTTAACTATACGCTCATTGTGGGTGGATACTCATATTAAGTAACTAGTCTGGCTTTTATTTTCAAGTTCACTCTTCAAATCTTTATTCAGATTCCTTTCTTCTAAAATTGACAGTACAGAGGGAACATCATACAGATATTAAAACTAAGCAGAATGCATCCATCTGGCATGCCTTTCAGGAATCCAGCCCACTAATTTTTGCTATGGGTTTGATGACTCAACCCCCTAAGATGCAGCACAGGGAAGAATTTCCTCATTTTGCAGAACTGCCAAATCTCATTCATTGGAGAGAAGGCTCCTCACTTGGGGCTCATTTTTAGACAGTTGTTTCTCTGTTTAAATATTTTTAAAGATCTCCCTCAGCAGAAGGAGTTTGTCATGATTTTCTAAATAGCGAGTAAACATACTCCTCCTCGCATCCCCCATGATGCTTCAGCCTTCTGGCCATTGAGCCTAGCTTTATTATTTTTCTTCTCTCCTTCCGCCTTTTTTTTTTTTTTTTTTCACCTCAGCTACATCTCTTGGCTTCATCTGTTCCTTGGAGGCTACAATGTCTTTTCTTCCATTGGGACATTTGTCTAACTTACTAATTTTTTACAAAAAAAATTTGTCTAATTTTTTACTTGAAAAAAATCCTCGCTTTATTTTTGTCTTCTTCCTTTTAAAGCTGTTCATCTAGGCCCCTCTTCACTTATCCTCCACCTTCATTTTTAAATCCTAATAATTAACTTCTAGTTAGTGCATAGCGCAGGCGCGAAGCCAAGCACCCTCCCAGCATCCCCTCTCCCGAGGGAGGTACCTTTATTATCCTCCTGGACAGAGGGGAAACAAACGCACAGAATTCAAGGAATTTGCAGAAGGTCCTACAGCTGGGAGCGCCGAGGCTGAGCATTAGACCCAACCATCTGGCTAAAAGAAAAGTCTTTAAAAAGTTTTATTAGATACAAAGAATATTTGGAAAATATACGCAAATGATAAAAGAAGCGGATCTCTCTCCCACCATGGGTCAAGTTTTCCAGTTTTGTCCACTTTAGAAAGCATCCTTTCCCTAGTTTCGAGCTTCTGGCCGTTGAACACGGCTGCTGGAGCCCCTCTCCCCACTGCGCTCGGCAAACGTGTCTTTTATTATGACTCAGCCCAGGCCGCTCCTTGCCAAGCGGCTGACGCTCGCGGCGGAGGGGCCGGGGCCGGCGCTCGGGGGCGAGGGCAGGCGCGCGCTCCGCCCGCTTTACGGCTGCTGAAAACCTGGCCCGCGCCCGGCAGCCGTACCGCAGACGAGCCCGCGCCCGCGCCGCTCAGGTAATCGCAGTCGTTGTGTTTTCAAAGTTTTGCCAAAACCAGCTCGGTGCTCCGAGGTGGCGCGGTCCTTGCCGAGCCGTCCGGCCCTCCCTCCCGCCCAAACTGGCGCAGCGGCGGCGCTGGCCGCACCCCTGGAGGGTCCCGGGGAGCCGGGCGGGCGTCAAGGACCGGGGCCGAGGGGCGCTCGGCGGCGGCGGAGTGGGAGGGACCTCGAGGGGCGGCGCGCGGGGCATCTGGCTCCGGCCGACCCCGGGCACACGCTGGCCAGGGGGTCCCCGTCCCCGTCTCGAGGACCCCGCCACCCTCCCGGAGGCCGGGAGCTCCCGAGTCTCTGACACGTTCACACGTGCACGCACGCCGGCCGTGCTGCCGACTAGGCGCCCTAGCGGGACAGGTAAAGATGAGCGGCGCTGCGGAGCTGTGCTTTAGGGACGGCTCGGCCGGAGGGACGCCCCCGCGTGAGGATGCAGCTCCGGAGGACACGCACCATGGCTTTCTCAAGGAAGTTTCTGAGAGGCTGTCGAAACAGCAGCCTGTGATTAGCGCCAGCGATGGTTTCCCCTTTGGTGTCCGGCTTACTCCCACAATTGCCTTATGGTCTGGTCTCATTCTTCCCTAGCTCTCTATCCTTTAGTGCCCTCCACGCCTCCTTTTCCCGCATTCTTTACTGCTAGCTCATCTTTCGGTGCCTTGCGTTCTTTTGTCCCTCACTGTTAGAATAACAAGTATACAGTTAACGCCTACTTTCCGATCGTCCTTAGCAGTTAGTCTTTGCTTACTATGACACGTGCATCCTGAGGAGCAGAGTAACGGATCCTGGACCTGTCCATGTGACTAAGTTATTGGACCATATGTCCTACTGCCTCAATTGGCCATGCGGAACAGAGGACATGGGTTTGTTTGAAACCGACCTCAGAAACCTGGATAATGGTGCTACTTCTGTTAATGGACTAAATCTTGACAAACATAAGCAGTTATATCGTAGTTTCCCGTAGTATTCACTCCATTCGGTACAAACCAGTAACAGTTCTTTGAATGTCAATTATGGATAGTTGGTGGCAGGCTGAGAAAAGAGATTCAGTTCCTGTCTTGCAGAGACCCCATATTCAGGAGACGGGACGGTGGTGAGCCCTGGGATGGTGGTACAAAGTGCTGTGGGCAAATGGGAGAGGGAAGGATTAAGGAAGGGGTTGGGTTTTAACCCGGCTTTGATGTTCGAGTAGGATTTTCCCCATTTCTTCCTGTTTTTTACCCTTAAGAATTCTTGATAGCAAAAGATCTTTCAGCAATTCAGCTCACACTATTCAGATATTTTTCTCCTTTACAATCGGCAGTAATCTCTGATCTCAAGACTTCTGGGAAATATAAAAGTAACTTGTCTTCACAAGGGTGACCCAATGTATTCCTGGTACCATGCAAAGAGTTCTATAGACTTTTATTACGGGACTAACAAGAATGAAATGATATGGTTTATTAATTGCTTACATAAAGCATTATCAGATTCACGTAGAGCACTCAATGCTTACTTGTTCATTTAGTCGACAAATATTTGTCGAGTGCTTACTATGTGCCAAGCATTGTTCTTGGCACTGGAATAAAGCACTGCCTTCTTGGAATATACATTCTAGTGGAGGGAGACAGTATATATAATAAGTAGAAAAATATAAGCTGATACTGTAATAAGTACTGTGGAGAAACATAAAGCAAGAAAGGGTTTATGTATGTGTGTGTGTATCTGTATATTTAGCAGTTTAAAATAGGATTGTAAGGGAAGGCCTGGAGAGAAGGTGACATTTCAGTAAACATAAGCAGGTGAGAGAGTAAGCTATGTGATATTTGGGGCAAGAGCTTTCCAGGTGCAGAGAAAAGAAAATGCAGAGGCCCTGCGTATTGTTGGTTCAAGGATCAGCAAAGAAGCCAGTATGGGTGGAGTGGATTGGAGGAAGGATATGTAGTCTTCACGAAGTAGAGGCTGGATAGAACTAAGTGGTCTGGTAAAATACTGTAATGACTCTAGTTTTCACTTGAGGTGATATGGGAAGCCTTTGGAGTGTTTTGATCGAACTGTCTAACAAAACTTTAACACCATTACTCTGATTACTCTGTTGAGAACAGATTGAAAGAATAGAAGGGCAGAAGCAGGGGTGCCAGTTAGGCTATATAATAATCCATGTGACAGATGGTGGTGGCTTAGACCAAGATGGTAACAGTGAAAGTGGTGAAAAGTTCAGACTGTGGATATATTTTGATGGTAAAATCCATAGGATTTGCTGACACCTTGCTTATGGAATACTATGAGAGTAAAAGAAATTCAGAACTTAATTGCCTAAGCAACTGATAAGATAGAATTTCCACTTATTGAGATGGGGAAGATAGCAGGAGAAAGATGTGGTGGTAAGGATTAATAATTTGGATTTGGACATGTTAAGGGTTAGATGCAGTTTAAATACCCAAGTGGAGATGTCAGCAGGCAGTCTGAAGGCCAGGCTAATGATAGACATTTAGGACTCTCACATATAAGCAAAAAGATTGGATAAATTCATCAAAAATGTGTGGGGTTAGAAAACTGAAGAGAACCAGGGAGTGAGCTTTGTGGCACTCCAACGTTATGAGATGAGGAGCAGCCAGCAAAGGATTCTGAAGAGCTGTAAGCTAGCTAAAAGGAAGAACAGGAGAGTGTGGAATTTGGAAGCCAAGTGAAGGAATGTTTGAAGCAGAGTAGGGGACTGGTCAGCTGTTTTAAAGATGAAGATTGAGAACTGATTTTGCAAAGGAAATCATTGATGACCTTGATGATAGCAGTTTTCATGGAGTGGTGGTTGGTGAAAGCTTGTTGGAATGTTTGACAAAGAAGAGGAGAAATTGAAGAGGGTGATGGTATGCATCTCTTGCAGATTTTTACTGGAAAGGAAAGGAGAGAAATGGAGTATTAATTGGAGGGCTATGTGATATAAAGAGAGTTTTAAAGATGTGCAAAACAATGCTATGTTCTTATGCTAATGAGAAAGAGCCAATAGAGATGGAAAATTGATGAAGCAGGAAAGAGGGAGCAGTGTTCTTAAATGTGTTAGAGGAGAAACAGTAGGAGAAGTTATCTGTTTCTAGGATTATGGGCTATTTATATACTTATAGTAATAATAAGGAAGAATGTGTGGACACATGCAGGTGGGGCATGTGGATATTCTCTTTGGATCACTTCTCTTTTCTCATTGTGATTAGTGGCAGACAGTTGTGGTGCATGAGAGATTTGTAGGAATTGTTATCTTCCCATTTGGTGAGGGATGTATTTGATGAGAAAACACTTTGAGATTCTGAGAATTTCTTGAAGCAAAGAACTTTGTGTTTTGTTGAGGAAAGAAGACGGGGAATTTCTATCTTGAGTTTTGTTTGGGAGAAGACTTGGAAAGAACGCTGAGATTATAAAATAAAAGCTGGGGCAAATGAGGAAATAAGGTAATAAGCAAGATCAAATCTGGGAAAGGCTTTCATGAGGAGGGTAAATACATTGAATCTTACCTCTGGTGATGTTGGCTAACTAAAGTTAAGTTTTGAGAATATTACTGTCATATCAAAGAGATACTTTACTTTTTAAATATCACAGTTGATCTAATGGAAAACAGTGTTCTGCTGCTGGTGAATCTACCTAAGGAGATGTAGTATTAGACGTGGAAAGAGATGTTAGCTGGGAATAGATTTCAGATTGGATTTTGATATCGCAAAGACTAGATTGGTAACAAAATGGGTATAGAGAAAGACTGCATTTTGACAACATTGTTCATGGATATTGAGCAATTTGACAAGATGGAGAGAAGTTGTCGGAGTTGGAAATAGTACCTTGTTTGAGATGACTTTCCTTCAGTTATTTGGGGACCATTTGTTTATTGAATTCTAAATATAAACCCGTTTTTTTAAGTCGTGGCAGGGGATGGTGATACCAAGATGCAAATGACATGATCCCTGCCTTCAAATAACCATTTCTGGTAGAGAAAAAAAAGGAAAGAATGTAGGCAAATATTCTGAGAGAATTGACAGATGCCTTATGAAGAGTACTGAGTGCTTTGAGAGTCTATTTTTTAAATTTTATTATGGAAGTTATCAAACACTCAAAAGTAGAGAGAATAGTATATTGAACCCCAGTGTACTCATCATGCTTCAAAACCTATCAGTTTTCTGCTAATCTTGAATGTTATCGGAGAGTAGAGAAGGGAGAGATTGTTTCTGTTTGTAGATGAGGATAGGAAGACTTCATGAAGCGTCTCCTATATGAAGACATAGAAAGAACAGGAACTGAGCTGTAGAATTCTTGGTTCTAGTTCTGTCCCTGCCAATGGCTTGCTGAATAACTGTTATTCAGTCTCTATCCTTCACTTTTTCTGTAGCGTATGGTTGTTATTCCACATCAGGGGGCTGCTAACTATAGCCCTCAGACCAAATCCAGCCTGCCACGTTTTTGTAAGTAAAGTTTATTGGAACACACCTACATCCATCCGTTTATTGTCTGTCTGCATTTGTCACGGACTACAGTGTTGAGTAGTTGAGGCAGAGATGGTATGGCTGGAGAGGCCTAAAATGTTTACTGTCTGACCCTTTACAAAATTCTTGCCAACCCCTGTTCTATGTAATCTCTGAGATTCCGTTAGCTCCAATATGTTAGTTAATCTCTTAGCTGACTAAAAATAATAATAGCTAGTATTTTTTGAGCATTGACTAAGAGCCAGCAGTGTTATTTTGGTTTGTATGTACTAACTCATTTAATCTTCAGCAAAACGGTATCAGGTAGGTTCTGTTATTTCTGCAAATGAAACTAAAGCATAAGGTGGGTAACTTGCCCAAGGTTATACAGTAATAAGTATTGGAGCTGGGCAGTCCTGTTATAGCATCTATATCCTTGACTATAATGTTACATTCTCTTTAGATACATAGAAAAAAATATATATGAAAATAATTTTAGCCAATTAGAGAATGGAAATTAATTCATAAGTCAATGATTTTCTCTTAAG